TTTAAAAAGCTTCTTATGGAATCTCATTTAGAAACAATTTAAGCCAAATCTCTTAAATCAATAGTCAGAATCTATTAACTGGGGGTTAGCTGATTAATTATATTGGAGGTGCAATGGCTGTTTTCTTGATTGATTCAATTATTTATTAACTAAATTATAGATTCAGGTTAGACCTCAGCAGAGGTTAGGCACTATGAATAGGCAAAACAGATATGGGTTCTCTCTTAGGAGGAGGCAGATATAAACAAGAATACAACTTATTAATTGTAAGTAACCACTTAAAATACTATCTAATTATTTAACTAGAAAAGGTTTAGTATGTAAGGACTCTAGGAGGGGAAGCAAGTAAGGGGGACTAGCTTGTTGAAAATGGAGGCTTTGGTGGAAAAACAAAACAGAAAACCAGATTAGAGCAAAGAAAATTTTACCAGTTCCTTCCTTCCATTTATATATACCAATGATTGAAGACCAAGTGGCCCCTACATTCTGGGGGGCTGGGTATGGGAAATAAAGGGTGTATTTTTCAATTAAATACAAGGGACAGTTTTGGTTTTGCCTGGCTTAAGCCTGGCAGTCACAGCTGTGAACACTAAGTATTGTTTCTACCCACTTACAGTGATGCTGACGGTGATGCCTGCAAGTAGGTAGCCTGAGGATTCAAACACACTGCCTTCTGCTTCTTGTTAGTAAAGCCTTTAGAGATGCAGTAGAGTTGTTTACTGGTATGTAAACTAAGACTAGAGGCTAAGTTCTTTGATCCAAGTCTCCTTTTTCTCTTGGAGTTTTACAAATGTTTTCCAGGTTTTTACATGCTTTTTTCCTCTTATTTAGATCCTAATATGTAAAGTCTTTTTTTTCCTCCAGTGAGGAAACAAAACCTTTTGTTTTTATAGTTCTTTAAAATATAAATAGCAGTTCCTGATTTCATTTCATTCAGGTTAATTGTCAGATTTAAAAAAAGAGCACAACCAAAATGAAGTTATAATTATAGATAACTGACTCAGTGCAGAGTAACACCAATCATAGGGATATTGTTCTGGTTTCTATTTCAAAGCAATCACTGAGTAAGCCTCCTTTGAATTGGAACGTGAGTCAGCATTTAGCGAAGAAGAGTTTAAGCCTCTACTCTAGATTCCGAGTGACAGAAAATTTCTAAATAGGACACTGTTTGTTCATAGTTTTGGGTATCTATGATTTACTTGGCTTTGTTAGACAATAGAGGCTTTGGTTCAGTTATATTTTTAACATTCCTTAAAATAAATCAAAGAGTGTTCCCATTTTGGATGTGGATTGGTATGGTAGAGGAAATGAAGTGCCGAGTGTCCAGGGATTACACACTGGGCTCTGTGCTGGACTGCCTTAGTTAATATTTTTTTGGTTGTACATAATAGAAACTGGCTCTGGCTAGCCTAAGGGAAAAAAATAAGTAGTGCTATTGGGTTATCTCGTAGAATTCAAGACTCAGAACAGACAGGGGTAGGAGACCTTTGACCTCAGCAATCAAGGTTCAAGTCTGTTACTACATGACTTTTCACAGGAGGCCCAGTTTGGCCTCAGGTCTTCACCTATAGATCAGTCAGTCAAGGTTAAAGAGGCAGAATGATTTGACTGTGGGCAACCACACCTGTACTTTGCAGGCAATTTTCAGAGAAAAGGGAATTAATGTGAACTGGTGCCCATACTAGTAAGGTCTATATGGGGGTACTTTATAAGCTTAATTTAATTTCACAAAAAATCTATAAAAATCATTCTTTCCACCTCAGAAATGAGAAAACTGAGACTCACATTGGTTAGGCAACTTACCTAAAGTTTCACAACTAGAATGTAGTAAAGCTAGCAGACTAAGTCAGTCTACAAGGAAGGCTAATCTCATTCCTAAAATACTGAACTAATGTAGTGAGACTACCTGGGACAAAATTTTCTCTGTGAGAAAATATTAGGTATCTATTGGAAAGAACTATGTATTGAAAGCCTGGAGTTGAATCCCAAATCCACCCTGTCATCCTGGCCAATAAGAAACCTAATCTTCTCCATTCATAAATGTGTATATGGCATCTCCTTCACAGAGTTATTGTAACTACCCAGGTTTATTGAGATAATGTATGAAAGTACTTAGCATAAAACAAACATTCATCCTTTTAGGGTGTGAGGGGAGGATAACATGTCTACTAAAGCAAAGTTGAACTTTTCTACTATTTAAGGAAAACAGAGTCACAATGGCTATACCACTCAAAAATCCTAACTGCTCTCTGACTGGCAGCCTTTCAAAACAGTGGCTCACCTAAACATAAAGGTAGAAAATGCTATGTAAAAAGGATTAACAAAATCATACACAAGGCAAAGAAAATTTTAGATATAAAAATATTTGACTCCTTCTCTCCAAGACTTGCGGGGGTGTGTGTGTGTGTCACATTTCAGGGAAAAACTCTTACCTTTGTAGTACAATACTTGATCATGAATACTACCTGAGATGGTCTATGTCCTTTTGATAACCAGAACAAAACCAGAATATGGGAATATGGTTCTTAAAATGGAGCTCTATAGCTTGACCATCACTGAAATAATTTAGTAGTTAATAAAGTTTGAAAGAATTAATGTATTCAAGTAATCACAATCCCATACTCAGAGTATATTTTTCAGTCGTCTTTAAGAACACCTCTGTGCGAAAAGCACTGTAGTGTTGTAGCAATGTAATTGTACACGGTGAGTATTCTGCAAATACAGACTGATAGGTATCATGTTTTTTTCCAAATTACTTTAGACAACAATTACTCTATGTCAACCACAAAGTTGGAAAAGTTCCACAAAAGGAAAAAGAAAAAAAAAACATTCTGTGGTGTCCAGGGATAAAGGAGGGGTGTAGATGATGACGACTATTACAGCCTCTTGATATTTCTGCTGTCTCTGGATCTTAGCGTCCGTGACCTTGTGTGTTTTACAGTCATCTAACTCATATCCAAGTCACTTGTAAAAGTATCATATCATTTAATTTGATAACAAAGAGAGTCAAGTGGTTTCAAATAATGACCGTAACATTGTGCTACCGATTTGTTCCTGAATGAAAGCCTTCCTTTTATATTATTATAGTTATTAATAATGATTTGGGGGAGTATTATTATACATATTTAAGGAAAAGTATATGTAGTATTATAAAACATCATCATACATGGATATAGTGGCTTGAGCTAGAAGATTTTTAAAAAGAATTAAAAAGAATATTCTAAAAGAAATAAAAAAATTATAAGCAAGTAAGTTTTGAGAGTTTTTTATTACACTGAGAAATCTCAGAAAAATTCAAAGCCCATGAAAGTAGATGCATTTCTGAAAATAAGACAAAACATTTTCACACATACATTTTCATGACATTTTAGTGCATTTAAGCACGCTGCTCATGAATTAAAGTACATCTTGAAATACTTGGAAAAGAGTTCATAAATCCTATTTGAACCTGAATTCCAATAAATGTCTGAGTTAAGATTCTCTTTCTAGAGATTAAGCTCATGATTTGATTCATAAGAAAAATGACTATTGATTTGTTGTGCCTTTGATGAGCAGAAATAGGAAATAAGCATATTATCATACAGTCCTTTAGTTTTAAGTGGTAAGTGAGAGGAAAGTTGAATTAATAGAACACTCTTCAGTTTTTTAATTGTATTGTTTGTTTCCAGTAGACCAATGAGAGTACATAGATCCAACTGCAGAAAAAACGTTTGGTAATACCAGAATGATTCTATACCATTACCAGCGTCTTATATCCAAGTTATGTTAGATACACAGGAGATGCTGAAAACCATGCTATTTCTGTCCTCAAAAATCAAATAAATGTATGGTTACATTCCAGCTTTTCATCGAGAGTCATCATGAAGCAATATTTACTACTTTTGCCAAGTATTACAGGCCACCAAAGGATATAAAGTTTACTTAATTTTGATAATGTTGCACTTTTCAATGGCTTTGGGGTCATATTATACTCTATTGCTGCTACTACCACTGCTAATAAAATAATAGTAAATGTAAAGGAGAAAAGAAAAGAAAAGAAATTTGATCACTTGATGGTTCTTATAAATGTTGTTTTGGTTTATCCTTGAACTAGAAATCAATCCTACAAGATTTGGAAATAAAACAAAAGCATATTTATAATTTGTAGCACGCATTTTAAAGGTCTAATGATTTCTCCAAAGCCAGTGTGGGTTAGCTTGTCATGTTCTCTTTATTCAATGTCAACTGGTTCCGTAGCTATTAAAGCACTTAGCTGTTTCTGAGCACAGGAGAGGAAAAGTTCCAAACTGGACAGGCTTCTTTGGCGGATGACTTGATCAAGCTGTCATTTTTTTTTTTTTTTTTTTTTTTAAGGAGAGAGAGAAACAGAAAAAAATAGACTAGTTAAAGGATAAAGAATATTACTGAAACCCATTAGAAAAATCTTTCGAAATGAGATGATTTTGGAAATCAAATAATACTAAACTGAGTCACTATTTCTGGCCTATCATCTAAAGTGAGATGATAATCATCACAATCTTGTAATTGATGTTGGTATTCAGTTATTGGAAAAATGTACATTTGATCAGAGTGATTTTAAAAAAATATAAAATAGTATAAAAATACCACTTCCTAATGTATTTACAGACCAAACACCTGTAAAGATCATATAAGTACTACAGATGAAAATAACAAAAGAAATACATGTTACAGAGAAATAGCATATTTACATCATGCATAAGGTTTAGTAAAACAAATGGTGATAATTTCCTAAAATTAGGGAAAGTTTTTGGGAAAGGTATACTTTAAGAAATATCTAATATCGTTAAAACTTATTTGTCCTCATTCTTCTGGTGAGGTAGAGAATTTTTTATTAGGTTGTTTTAATGTATCAATAGCAACATAGTGAACAAAACAAAAGGATTATTAAGGGAAGTAATTTGGGTTATACGTAATACAGGACATTCTGGATGGTAAAGATTATTGAGGGCAAGGAAAAAAGTTCTTAACTCTGTGCCCCCGAAAATTTGCCCACGGCATAAAAATAACCAAACAATGAGCATATCTGGTGTACAGGTTATAGAACAATGAAGGCCAAATAAACAATCAAAGATAACCAAATAAATTCCATTTCCCAATATATGCCTGTCATATTTATGTAAAATTGACATTCTTATCACAAGCCTCCCACCCACAAAGACAAATCCAAACAAGAATTCTCTATTAAATGATATTTCTATAACCTACTAATACTCAAAATGACTAAAAAACTAGAAGATTAAAATGTTGAAGTATCTTAAGCATTAATCAATCTAAAAAGAATACATTATATTTAGCAAAATGCTCATGTAGTAAGAATGAACCATGCTGACTCCCTTCAATTCTAATATTCGGAGATTTTACTATATATACTCCATGGAATTTCTGTTTATACTTGTTCCACATTGTCTCTTTTTCCCCTTCTTCTTCTATTGGATAATACCTTGAACATACACCTTATGCTTATGGGACTATTAAACAATAGAGTTCTTAAAATCCTGTCTAGAGTTCTTAAAATCCAAGTGAGCAAAAATCCTATCTTGCTAACTACTATATCCCCAAATCTAGAAGAGGGTCTGGCAAATGTTGACACTTGATAAACAGTTGGTGAGGTTGAATGGCTCAATAAATCCATAACCCTAACTGAGCAAGTCAACCTAACAGGAAATGACAGAGGCACCGTTAATGCTAACAGTGAAAAGAAGCATGCTTACCCAACTCTAAAAGATATGTGGGAGATTAAAGTTGGATTTTAAAGTTTCATTTTACCATATGTAAAACAGATCAAAATCTAAGTATTTGCAGCTTTTTAAGTTATTCTGCACTCTGTCAAAATTCAAACAGCCCAGAAGAATGTACACTCATTTCCAGCCCATTCCCCAGTGATTTCTGTCTACTTTTGGATATTTTCAACCATTTAAATATGGCCTTTAAAAAATATTTATTCCAGATCTTATAATTGTTAGCTGTGGGAAGGTTCACACAATCACTTTATTCCACTGCCATTCCTGGAATTATTCCCTATCAAGTTTACGGAATTGTTTGACTGTATTGTATGATTTATTTAGCCATTCTCTCACTGATAGACATGCATATTATTTATTTATTTATTTATTTAGAGACAGAGCCTCAAGCTATCCCCCTGGGTAGAGTGCCGTGGCTTCACAGCTCACAGCAACCTCCAACTCCTGGGCTCAAGTGAGTCTCCTGCCTCAGCCTCCCAAGTAGCTGGGACCACAGGCGCCCGCTTCAATGCCTGGCTATTTTTTGGTTGCAGCTGTCATTGTTGTTTGGTGGGTCCAGGCTGGATTCGAACCCTTAGGTGTATGTGGCTGGCACCCTAGCCACTTGAGCCACAGGTGCCGAGCCAGACATGCATATTTATTACAACTTTGTTTTGATTTTGAAGCAACAAAGAAATTTACAACTTGAATGCTCACCTTTCAGATGTTCAACGGTTTCTTTTGGACAGATTTTGACATGTTGAAGCTTATTGTCGTAAGATTTGCATATTATAAACTGTGATGATATTACCAAATTGCTTTCGAGAGACAGAGTACCAAATTACGATTCCCAACTATATGTATGAGAAGACCAGTTTCCTCTGTTTTCTTCTTTTAAACAGTTTCCATTATATGGTTAGAATTTAATATATGTAACAGATATTTCAATATATATTAATATTATTCTATTGACAGATATTTGTATTTTTCCTTATCTTTGTCTATTCTAATCAGTGCTGTTATTAACATCCTTCAATGCAGACCGCTGTATACTTTCACTAGTATATTTTGTAGAAATTCCTTCACCAAAAGAATATGTGATCTGCAATACTACCTCTAATCATAAATCAAGTTTCCATACATGCACAAATCTGTCTTGGGGTTTTTTATCCTGTTCAGAAAATTCACCTATCTCTAATGTTATAGGTGAATGTTACATTATCTTAATTACTATGGCTTTACATTAAATCTTATTATATCACATGTTGCCAATATAAAATATTTCAGAAGAATATGTATTATACACAAATTTATAGTTGTTTATACTTGTAACAAAATTGAGTTTTAAAAGGAAGTAACCCCACCTACAGGCATCTCATATTGTTTTTTCATAAGCACACAAGAAAGGCAAAACTCAGAACTTAATTGAGATATATAAGTAGGTGAGAAAACATTTCCTTTTAAGGCAAAGAAACGGTACAATCAAAACTGGACAGTTGTATTTGGAGGGTGGAATCAGGCAGTATAAGATGTGTAGAGTCAGTTTGGAGGTGGCCTCATGGGTGTTTTACTGTTACACTTCATAACTTATGTATAGGTATCTTAGGGGCTAGCTTTAATAACTCAAAATTCAAAAGCACATATCAGGAGTTTCATTAAAAACAAATTTGATTTAGTATTTTAGAATTTCTGGATGTTCGATAAAAGAGAAACGTGTCTCTCTCTGAGGGTATAGTATAAATTCACATGGTGTAATTAGCATTCAACCTGTGACTGTTGCTAAGTAACAATAATTTGGATGTATATATTCAGAAAAAATATTCTGCAATTTTTAGAAAAGGATAAGAACAAAAAAGTGTGGCCGATTTCTACATAAGTATATTAAGTACTTCTCTTGCTGTGTTAAAAGTCACCTTCAAATTACTGACTATAAGTTGACATACAGGCAGCTGCCAAGGCCCATTTCACAGCTTTTATTACTCTTCTCCAGAACTCTCTGAAGGTAAGAGTCCTTTAAATAAATGGGAGGTCAACACTTTAAAGGGTGACAAGGAGACACTGATACTCTATGTGAAGAAAGAAATTGGGCCGTCACAAAGCTGAGCTTCCAATTTTGTGGGTCCTTCTAGGGCGTGCTATGTAAGACCATGTCTGTGAGAGGGAACATGTATGACCCTTCTCTTCTAAGGATGTTAAATTCCTCTCTCTGAAACAAACACATCAAACTGATGTTCTTGGCAAATTTCTGAATTTCAACAGTTTCTGTTTTATTAGGCATGACCTTATTATCTTTTATTGAGGCAAGAATTTTGGCAAAACATTCAACTTTTTTTTACCCCTTGAAGAATGGGACCTAGTTATGTATTTGTGGCATTCATTTCAAAGTGAATCAAATATTTGTATTCTGTGACATATTGCTGACAAATATTAGGACCAGAGTAGGTGTGGCAAATATTTTTAGATATGGGGTTTAAAATCTCTTCATAATAGTGTAGCATTAACTGCTTTGTTTTCTCTCTCATTTTTTTTTTTTCTGTCATGCTTCAACTTCTCATAGATATCTGGAAAAAACTAGAAATTCTGAGGTCTCTAAAATACACACATGGACTTTGTAAATCTTTTTTTTTTTTGGGTCCTTTTTTTGGTCATCGCTTCAGTTTGCTCGCATATTGCTAAAAGGCTTTTAGAAGCATACTACTTATTAAAAGTTGTTAGTTTTAATAAGCTTAGGGAGAAAAAGAACATACGACTTCCTATTAATTTTCTATGTCATATTTATCTTCCTATGAGTGTTTCACATCACAGCAAAAGAAAACAGAAACAAAACATCTCCTGACCTTGGCATTTATTTCCTAGTCACCTAAATGCAATATGAAGGATGGTGAACTTATATTGGTCTAAAGATCAAACTTCATCAAGTGATAGATACTAATTGATCAATTAGTTGACCTGATTTTAAAACATGTCTTGAAAATCTTGAAAGAAGTGAAGGAGGCTGGGCTCAGCAGCTCACACCTATATTATTATTCTGGGAGGCCAAGGCAGGACGACTGCTTGTAATTCAAAGTCAATTACAAACAAACAATTCTGATTTATTTTAATGAATACTGTTCACAGTCTGTTTTGAAATACACAATAACATACTTTGTACTAACCGTGCTTTCACTCTATAGTATTTTGAGCTTCTACCAACAAAGTATACCAAGAAATGTGAAAATATTAGATCTACTTTTATCAATCTTTTTGTTCCAACCTATACTCCTGTACATTTTAAATACATGCTTAAAAAATAATCTCATTTTTCAAAACTGCTAGAATGGATATCTGGCAAATCCACTGATAAAGAGTGACTCATACACAAATGTTATCAGGTTCGTAATAATGTGTTTCATGGATTCGGTTTTCACATTCACTAACAAGTTCTTTCATAGACATTGAAGAAAGGTCAAGTATGATGATCTGGAACTACAAATAAACAGGCAGATTTTCCAGTTAACATCATCACATTGGGAAAGAAGGATTGTTTACCTTCTAATGAAGAAGGAAATAGTTCTTCAGTCTCTTGTTTATTATAATGGTG